GTAAAATTCCATGTAAAACTCGGAAAATCACCTACAAAAACGTATGCTTTACTGAAAGAAGGATATGAAGACGAAAAACGGTCGGTTAAGTATTTAGGATGTTAAAGACTTCATAGGATCTAAAAACACAGTATTAGGCAGATTTTTAACAAAACAAAGTCATGGTTTCTTCATCCGAACAACGCTGCAGTCCATACTGAACTATCTGTTTAATATTAGAATATCTGGACGCTGCAATATAATTCTGTAATTGAAAGTTAACGAGAGAATATGCGTTGGTGGTTTTGGCATGTTCAGAGGAACCAAAAGATTACCATTATAATAAGGGCGGTAAGGTTGTAAGTTGAGGGAAGAGAGACATGTCCAGAGAAACGAAAAAATGGCATACACTGTTAGTTATGGTATGAAAGAAAGGGAAATTGAGAAGAAAACTGGGTAGAACAGAGCAAGTGAAGGAAAAAACGTGCCTAAGGTATAAAATATCGAGATTAATAGCGTTTTATAGTTATTCACGTTACAAGTTTGATTAAAGCATGTTTAACAAAATGAGTTTTGTTGAGCCATAATCAAACGTGTATTGTTCAATATTTTCATTTGTTAAAGTGATTGTTATGCTCATTACATAAATCATTTGACATTTTTCAAAATGTTTCTGGCGTCATTATTGAAACTTGTTTAAAATTATCGATTTAGAATTTGATAGTGTTGATATCAGATACTGAAGCAGCCGCGGAAAAAAATTTAAATGTTTATTACTTTAGAAAATATAATGTATGAGGACAAATAAATTTTAAAAAACGGTGTTTAATAGATAAAAAAAAATAATAATTAACTTCTGCTTCATTTTATGGCATCTAAGTTCAAACTAATGGATAAATTACTGATTAATTTTACGCCTATAGTTATTTTCGCTGTTAAATAGTAATAGTTATTAGTAAAAGTGGAAACTAAGTAAAAAAATATGGCTCGTCCGTATAAGACAATAATAAAACTCTAACTCTAAACGAACACATAAAATCACACGATGAATAAAAAAACTTTTTATGGCGACAGACATATAGTTGACTTCGACAATGGCCGTGTTTACAAAGTGGCCGGGTTTTATGAATATAATAATGTATTTTTCACCAACTAAGTAATTTTCACAATCGATTTTAGTACGTTAAAACACGCAAAGCTTAAAGGTATAATTTTGTGAGTAACAATCAATCTGAAATGTTGGAAATAAGTTTGCTGTCGAATTATAGAGAAATGTGCACTATTTTTTAATGTTATTAATTTTCGACAATAATTTAAATTATCCATGGCCATATTTATAATAATATTTATAATCGTATTTATAAGAATGAAAGGCTGATCGATCATGAATATTTTTCTTATCTTCATGAAATATCAGTGGTGATTAAAACGAAGTTTTCTGGAACGCAAAAATATAACAAATTTATTCACTTCCAGTAAATAAAACGATGTACTCTTGTAATTAGGCATTCCGAACAAAATTGCTGCCCGTAGGAAATGACAGACACATGATAGGCATGGGCGTCGTTTAGGGGGGCAAGGGGGGGGGGGGGCAGTTGCATCCCCTGGCTTTTACGACTTTACAACGCGTAATGGCTGTATGTCACAATACTAAATTAAGTACTAAAATTTAGCCCTAAATTAAGTAATTAATTTAGTACTAAATTTAGAACTAAAAATATTTTTTCCTTTTGCAACGATACCAATTTTTAGTACTAAATTAAGTATAGGCGCACGTGCATTGACGTATTATTACGTGAAATTAGCACAGAAATGGAATATTTTGTGTAAAAGAGACAAGTGAATTAAAAGATGTTTTTATTATGACCTTGACACTAGTTGACTTGACAACTACCAAATGCAGCAATATTACTAAAAACCACGAAAAAAACACAATAGAACCTACAAAATCAAACACAAGCGAAATTTGTCCAAGACGATAATGCAAAGTTATCGCTAACCAACAACAAAATGATGCAGAAAAGACCGTTGTGTCAACTTTTTCAACGCATTTTTAATACTAAATTTAGTAGAAAATAGAACAAGTTCCAATTATTTAATTAATTTGTTTTAGTACTAAATTTAATAATAAATTTGCTGTTTGCACCGTGAATTTTTTTAGTACTTAAAAATGCATTAATTTAGTTCTAAATTTAGTACTTAATTTAATTTAAATCGTAACATGCTTCCTTAATATATGAATTACTGATATTTCGTTAGGTAGGTACTATGTGCCACAGTTTAACAACACTGTATACAATAAAATTACGTAACACAATTACACAACTGACACTTCCACGAATTACGGACAACAATCTCATAAAAATAATATTCAGGCTAATATTTACAGTTGGCGAATATTATAGGTTGAATATAAGTATTCCATATCCATATCTTACACGTACCTGTACAATTAACTTTTTTTTTAAAGTAGGTAATGTTAAAGTTGGCAACCCTGTCTGAATTAGTTACTTTTGTTTTATAAAGATGACTACCTGTATTGTCGTCTGTCAATAACAATGTCAATGTAAGTACTTCCGGTAAATTACCCAACGAATGTGCGCACCTAACCTGAGTTGCTATTTTAATTTTAGTATTATTTGTTCAAATAGTTATTCGTTAATAAAAACCTTTTACCAAACTATTTCCACATTATTTTCTCTAACAGATAGAAACAAAACAAAAAGCAATAGCAGTTGCTGTGTTGTAAATTGTAAATATACTAGCAGAAAAAACAGTGTAAATTATATAAATTTTTAGTAGCAAAATGGATAGCTACAATAAGAAGAAAAAAACCTTTATTTTTGTAATAATAACAGTAATACTGGAAATAATAGACATTTGAAAATTGAAAGGTTTTAAATAAGCAATAAATTATTATTTTACAATGTTGTTCAATATCCCTTAACTCTTAAATGTTCAGCAAGGATTAGATTTCTGCCTATTATTGTATGTGGCTGAAATGCAATCTTGTGACTTATTGATAGGAAACCAATTTTAATCATTAATTTCTATGGGTTCTTTCGAACTAAAAATGAAGAAAATATAAATTTCAATCGCAAATTTACCAATTATTTTTATTAATACGTTTTGATACTACGTTATTATGTTTTTATTTTCACATTATTTAACCTATTCTTCAATGATAACTTATTAGGCTTAAGCAACATATCATACATTTCTTTTTTTAGCTGAAGTAATAAAAATATATAGTAATAATTAATTTTTTCACTTGTTTTACAAATCCATATACTTTTATTAAAATCAACATATCTATTTTTAATTAGGAATTCCTTTAAAAATTGTATTGTCAGTATACGCAAATATCGTCCGTTAGTTCATGAATTTGTTGGCGCTGCTATCACGCATAGAGCAAATAATTAATGAAAATAGGCTGATTGCGCTTGGATGATGAGCGTACATCGAAAAATAATCGCAAAAAACTAAAAAGGAATCATGTTTTTTGTTATCGATTATTTTAGGTATAGGGAGAAGAAATTAAAAATTTTCGTTTTCCTAGTGTTCGTCGACGTGTTTGAGTGAGTTTTTTTTGTTTTTGTGTTTCTATAAATATTTTATTTTTTTTAATATTATGTATGGCTCTGTCTTCTTGTTAATATTTTTATCTTATTTCACACCTTCTGTTTGTTTTTTAAAAATATGTGTTTTAAGTTTCTTGTCTTTTTTTTATTTTAGTTTTTGTCTTTTTTGTTGGGTTACCTATTTTATTTATTAGAAACTTTTGTTAATTTGTATTGCTCTTTTATTTTTAATTTTCTTTGTTTTTAAACAAATAAACATTCTAAATGTTTTCAAAATTTTGCCCCTCCCTATATAATTGTGTGATGATAGGTTATAATATGACAACACTGTGGGTCTGGTGATTTGACAGGATTAATCATATAGATAGTTATATAGATTGATCATCCATGTTTTTAAAAATAAACATAAGCTAAGTAAAAATGTAGGTAATTATTTTTATTTTACTATTAATAGGCTTGAAATTGGTTTTAAAACACATTTTTGTTAAGCCAGGCAAAATGGCTGCTCGCAAACGACCCGCTTTGAGCAATCTATATAACTATATATGTATCATTGACCCTGCCAATGACAACAGGCCCACAAGGTTGCCATATTTAAACTGTCATTTCCCACAGGCATCATTTTGACAGGTTGTTGAAGTCCCTAATTATCTTGAATAGAGATATTGGTAAAGCTATTTTTTTTATCTGAGAAGAGTAATGTTAAAACAAATGCCGGCTTCTATTTGGTACGAAAATATGAAATTTGGTGCCCGATATGATGTGTATGAGATGTAAGACAATAGCATGGCTTGTCTTGAACATCATTGGATAAACATTCGTCGCGACGCTTACTGAGGGAATTCTACCATATATGTGCGCGGTTGCTTTTCAATTTGATTGGCTTGAGCAGTCAACTGTAAGAATTCGTTTGGTGTGAGGCTTCACACTTCAAGTTACTCTAATAATTTGCCCGCTTCGACCAGTAATTAACTCGCCACATTCCGATGTGTGACAAGGTTGACTTTAGTGTTTAAATTCGGACACTTAAAAAATTACCTATAGTACTATGTCTCGACAGTATTTTCTTAGGTATATTTATAAATATATTTTATTTAATAAAAAATAACTTTCATCCGGTAAGCAGACATAACTTAGTATTTTAGACTATGTTTTATGTTCAGTTTCAGTGTCTGCCCTAATTAAATTAAATAGTTTTACAGTATGTTGCCATTCCTCAGCTCATCAGTGTTTGCCAATAATTGAATATTCTACATCTTCATTTTAGACCAGTACCTACATTTTGCAGCAGATCATCAGCTGTTGGATATTACAATTCAAATATTAAGGTGATTAAATAAGATTTGCAACTAGCTTGTAGACATTGAAAACCAACGTGAACAATGACTATACTATTTACCATTACCGTTTTAAGTTAAAAGAAAACAGTAAAACACTTACCGGTATTACTAATACTAGTGGCATTGGCGTTGGCACTGGCCTGTGCAAAATGGGGATTCTGCAACAACTGTTGTTGCAGCAAGGCGTGGTTCATGGTCGGCAAGTGCGAGGGAGGTGGCGGTAGGACGGGATAGGGAGGCGGTTGTTGGGGTTGCGGCGTACCGGCCGCACCGCCGTGGCTTAGCTGCGGTGTTAGGTTACCGCCTCCGTTACCGGTCGTGTTGTTACTGTTTCCGTTACCGCCACCTGGTATCTGCTGGGTACCGCTTGGAGGGAATTGGGATAGATTTGGTTCGGCTGAAATCATAAAAAAAATATAAAATAATAAATATAAAATTCGGAAATGGTATTTAGGAATACTATAACTAGATTGTTAATTTTTTCTCAACTGCTCTACCTATAGGTTTAATTCATAGTTTTAAGAATACTCTTCGTTTAATTTGATGAGACCATTAGATATGTGAGTTCTTTTTGTTTTTAGTAATGAAATTAAGCATATTATAATACTAACATGACATATTTAGGAGGAACCAAAAACTCGAGAGAGGTAGGCAAAGAAGAGCTTAGTAAAAATGCAGACTTTTGGAAAGTAACAAATAACAATGTGTTTACTTTTGCATTTTTATATAAGTTTATTATTTTAGTTATATATTTTTTTAATATTAGTTGTTTTCATATATTTGGTAAAATGCAGTAAAGTTCTGAAATTTATTATGGGATATGTTTGCATACAAATGCTTTGAAATCAAATAAATCCACACCAAATCAAAGAGACACTGATCATCAATATACTAATATTTTCGGCATTGACAAGATGTTATATTCATGCTACATTTTGCTTCTTTTATTTTGATATTGTACCCCTTTATTTATTTTATAAAATGAGATAAAGTATAGTTTTATATAAGGTTCGCCTCTCATTAAACTTCTGAACTAAATAAGGGAAGTGAGGGTAGGTTTGCTTCAAGGTTCAACCTTGAGCCTATTTCTGTTATTTTTTTTATATTAGATGCAATTGCCGGAGAGAAAGAGAATTTATAATTTATATAGGTGTACAAACTATTATAGTATGTATTTATGTTTTACAAAGAGTAAGATAAATTCATGTAGACGTTATGTTTAGAGAATTGTTATGGAAAGGTCTATAGAACAATTATTGTTAGATCATCCTTGCTGTCTTAGATAAGCGGTGTTAGAAGGCGGGTCATAATCAGATATTAGGGTAAATAGATGTTTCCATTGGAAGACATATTGCCATTATAAGGTCATTGCAAGAGCTTTTGCCATCTATCAGTTTTATTAGCAAGTAATAGAAGCATGATCGTTTCGGCCTTTCTGTCTTTTTAAAAAGGTTTTTTATTTTAAAATTCAGCCATAAGAGACCTAACACGCGCTTCTTGGCAAGCCAGGTAGCCCTCAGATAGTCCTAGTAAAAAACTGAGCCCATACAGCTAAAGAAGAAGACAAGGAAAAATAAGAAATTTATGCTGACGCCGTAACCTTAGGCAGATTGTCATTTGAAATAAAATCCTGCTTCTATTATTTGCTATGTAAACTGATAGATGGCGCAACTGTCTTGCAATGACCTTACAACTTCAATATGTCTTCCGATAAAATTATCTATTGATTTTATTGCTAAATAATAAACTTAGATAGTTTGGATACATTTTTAGAAGTGAAGAACAACAGACTGAAAGCTTGAGACACTAGCTTGTTGAGGATAAACGTAAAACAGAGACAGGCCAAGGGCTGCGTGGAGCGATACTGATAGTACCTGAATGGGTACAAAGAATGCAGTGTAAAGTACAGGGAACAGGTGGAGATGATAAATAATTACCTATAAAATACTAATAGTTAAAAAAATTAACTTCACTGATCATTCCCCATTATTAAGAAAGGATTGAACCAACCTCAGATATAAATAAATAAAAGCTATAGATACAAAAATAGTCATTTTTATGAAAATTCATAAGACAATTTGTTCTTTATTCTAATTGAAATACGTTCTAAATCAAGATTAAAATTCTTACAACTCATAAGACTTTTATTAAAAAAAATGTTTGCTAAAAAAGGTAATAGACGTCTTGAATTCTTTTATAAGAATATGTATACTATCATTATTATTATTATTATTTTAGTACACTTATATGTAGGTAAATGGGTATAGATAACTTTTGCTAATAAAGCTTTGTTCTGTATCTGTAACGTGTGGAGGGTGGGTTACCTCCACGGCATCCTCCTTAGATGATAGGCACCTCCTAGCTCGTCAGCCAGCCTACAGATTTAATGTAGTTGACAACGTCGCCAAGAGGTGCTTCTCTTATATCGGCCGGTGTTAGCCGATACTCGCCCGAACACAAATCTTCTAATAAATGAGAGCGTCAGGCAATTGTAAAGGATATGCTCGATGGTTTCATCTTCTTGTTCGCACCCTCTGCAGAGTGCGGATTCTGACAGCCCCATGTTATGGAGATGCTTCCATACTTGGCAATGATCAGTCAGAATGCCTGTGACCAGACGCAGATTCTGTCTAGTCATAGTCAAGTATTTGTTTGCTGCAGTGTTGTCAGGATAACTCAAGAACTCCCTAGCAACTCTGCAGTTTCTTGTTTCATCCCATCTTTCCTTGAATTTCACAAGGGAATTTTCTTTAATTAGGTCTGTCACTACCGATTTTGTCAGGCCAATAGAAGGGCCAGGTCCAAAAAGTATTTGGTTGGCTGGTTTCTTGGCTAGTGAATCGGCAATACGGTTACCTTTCGATGTGGCGTGACCTTTGATCCATCTTAAGGTGACCACATTGTTGATGGATACTTCGGCCAAAGCTTCATGACATTCTAGTATACTAACCCTAAATAAATTCGTGGTCTGTTCAGGGTGAGTAGTGCTTGTCTGCTATCTGTATAGATGAGCATGTTCCTTCCAGTGATATTATTTCTGGTTATTTCTTTTGCTGCTGAGAATCCCCGTTAGCTCTGTTTGAACTACACTGGCACTATTGCTAACAGCCCATTTTATGTTTAGGTTTAAGAATCTGGAGTATATTCCGCATCCTGAGTCTTGTTTTGTTTTAGAACTGTCGGTGTAGATATTAATCGTACCTGCCACTTCTGGCTCTTCTATTTGTTCTATTATAACTTTATATGGCTTATGTAAGATATATCTCGGTGAGTCCATGTTCGCTTGAAGCAGTGGGAGCGTATCGAGCGCCTCCTGCCAAAAGTCTCGCCTCACCAGATCCTACATCAGATTCTATTCCGACCGTGCGGAGGCGTGTCATTGTCGTCAGAGCAACCTCCTGGATGTTTAAATTTGTTTTCTGATTTTTTTTGCCCTAGAGACACCACAAAAATTAAAACACGTGATAAGATGAAATACATTAAAATAAATTTGAAATATTTTTAAAATTTACTGTTTTTCTTTAAATTTCTGGAATTCAAAAAACAATTACCACTACCACATTCACAATTTCCCACGTTCAATTTGAGTGTAGAAAGATTTAAGTACTAGCTCGAAGGTCTAATGGCCCCCTCTGAAAATGTAATTTACACACGCGACCCCACGGTACCCTTACTAATACTAATTATTTAAAAATCACATCGACAACTACAAAAATTTTAAAATGATCAGTAAATTTTAATAGATGCTACCCTTTTTATTCAGCTGTCACACAACTTCATAAAGACACATCTAATTATTTTCCTATTTCACTCTTCCTATCAGTATCCTATGGAGGGCGGGTTAATCCATGGCACTTAGGCCTCACTAGACCCATTGTGCATCCTCCTAAGTTGATAGACACCTCCTAGCTCGTGAGCCAGCCTACAGATTTAATGTAGTTGACAAAATCGCCAAGAGGTGCTTCTCTTATATCGGCTAGTGTTAGCCAAATCTTCTAATAAATGAGAGCGTCGGGCAATCATAGAGGTTAAGTTCGATGGTCTCATCTTGTTGCGGATTCTGACCGCCCCATGCAATGACCAGTCAGAACGCCTGTGATCAGGCGCAGATTATGTCTGGTCATAGTCAAGTATTTGTTGTAGTATTGTCAGGAAAACTTAAAAGCTCCCGGGCAACTCTGCAGCTCCTTGTCTCTTCCCATCCTTTCCTGAATTTCAAAAGGGAATGTTCTTTAAATGGGTTTGTCACTAACGATGTTCCCAGTCCAATATAGAAAGGCCAGGTCCAAAAAGAATTTGGTTGGCTGTCTTACTAGCTAGTGAATCAGAAAGACCTTTAGATGTGGCGTGACCTTTGATCCATTTTAAGGTGACCACATTGTTGATGGATATTTCGGCAAAAGCTTCGTGACATTCTAGTACTACTCTAAGTAAATTCGTGGTCTGTCCAGGGTGAGTAGTGCTTATCTAATATCTCTATAGATGAGCATGTTCCTTTCGGTAATATTGTTTCTGGTAAACTTATTTTGCTGCTATGAGAATCTGGAATATATTTCACATCCTGACCCTTGTTTTGTTTTACAACCATCGATGTAGATATGAATCGTACCTGCTACTTCCTGCTCTTTTATTTGTTGTTATAACTCTATATGGCTTATGTAAGATATATCTCGGTGAGATGAGATGGAGTCCATGTTCGCTTGAAGCAGTGGGATCTTATCGAGCGCCTCCTGCCAAAAGAGACTAAGAATGACTTTCATGGCTCTTCCTACGATATTCACAGAGATGGCATTAATAGAAAAATAAAAATAGGCATTTGGCAACAAAATTTAAATTATCTGGATTTATTGGTACACGACATACGAGACAAAAAATTTTCCACTTTAATAATTATTTCTTACGGCTCCAGTGATACCCGAATGGCAAAATTTTACTTGTCAATTATAAAGTTTCCTATGGACTATTAAACAAAATTGGATTGGTAGCTCAGTAAGAAATTTAACCAATTTTTTATCGAATAAGTGGGTACTCGAAAACCGACCCTGAAATTTTGTATTTATTTCAAAACGTTCTCAGATTGCATTTTTTTTCCACTAAATTAATTGTGTTTCCTGACACCAACCGTATAATATAACTTTGATTTTTAAAATGTTTTTTCCAAAATCATAATTTGGAATAATAAAAATAATTAGAGAAAAAATGCTGATTAACAACACTGGAAGTAGTTTTTCAAAATAACGGGTAGAACTTCTTTAAAATGTTATTTTCTAATCATTCGAAAGACTTCTTAAAATATTCATGAAATAAATGTACGGTGTGGAAACTACTCATGGAATAAAATTATAATTTTTTAATTTGGTGCAATCGGCATCAGCTACTTAGGTTATTAGCGTCGTGGTCTGTGTAGGCGTTGTTACTGTTTCCCAGCGTCACTTTAGGAGCAGCACTGTTAATTAGAACCGTGAATGATTGATGAGTGGGGAATCATACCTATGCATTAGAATTAATATTTAATTTATTAAATTAAATAAAAATCTCTGCCACCAGCGGGAAGTCATGACTCTAACTACTGAGCTAACCCATCCCCAATATTTTTGGTGTTATTTTAGAAAAACGTGAAACATGGTCAGACATGTCAATTTTTATTTTAATCAATACATTTTATGACTGCTTTTCCTTTATTACTGTCCACCTGACAGTCACAAATCAATTTTTTAAATATAATGTGCACATTATTGAAAAAACTATTTTATGGGGAAATCCATAACATTACTTAACCTAAATATCTACATATTTCACTTGTAACATAATATTTGATTTAGTTAAGATAATGTATTGAATCATTTTGCAATACTTAATTAATATTTTTGTATGCCTCCAGAGGGCACTAAAATAAAAAGTAACGTAATGAACAGTATGATTACTGAATTTCTAATAAAATTCCCACATTCAACTCGTCTTGCTATTAAAAAAAAACTGAAAATCAAGGAGACAGAATTTTTTTGTCGTAAAATGCATTGCTTTAAATAAAAATTGATAGGTATGTTTTACAATTTTATAAAATAATTTTATTCCATAAGAAGTAGTTTCACACTGTATAGTAACAATATACATAATAATCAATTTCTAACTAAAGCAGTCCGTGGAGCTACCTACAAATGAAATCCTAAACTCAGTTCGCCGTTATTCGATATTCAGCGTTGTGAACAAATTCCTGCAACGTAGCTTTGGGAATTGTAAACCAGATGGCGCGCAATATCCCATAAGGATCGTTTAAATAAATTAAGCAGTGAAGTAGTGCAAATAATTACAAATTCGAATTATTTTAAACATACTATCAGTATTGTGTGTTGTAGGAATAAAATCTTATAAAGGAAAAGGTTGTACTGTTTGTTACATACAGGTGTAAAATGCATTTGACCAATTCTGTTTTGAAACAAAAAAAATGTATCGGCCATTAGGTTGTTATTATTATATTAATTTCTATTATTTTCTTTTTACTAAACAAAATTATTTGAATTACCTAATTAAATATAAATTTTTTCCCACGCACATAGGTGGGCACAAAATAAGTGATTCTAGGGATGTATTACTATTAACTCACTTTATATTTCATTACTGTATTTTACTTTAAACTGAATCCATTATTTGGGTTTTAAAAATTTTAAAAGTTTTTCTCTACTATTCTAAAAATATTTTTTTATGTTCTACTTCATGGTGTCATTAACCTATTGTTAGCTGTTTTCCTGCATCACTTAAAAATAACACAAGTGGCAATAGTAGTTATTGGACAGGAGAATCCTGCCTACCTACCTGTAAATTATCTCCCATTCTTGGGGTTTAAGGGTGATTCTAACCTCTAAATAAAACATTTCTCTGTAATGTATAAAAAAAAATATCTAAAAACTAAATTTTTTATAAAAATTAGTATTATTCATATTATGTATATCACAAGCCATTTATAAAAAAATTCAAAAATATTTTCTTTTAAAAATGATTATTATTTTAAATATAAATTAATTCATCAAAAACTATGCTGAAAATGGCCATTTTATTTTAGCTACAATAGCTATAATTTAATTTAAAACAAAAATAAATTACAAACCTGGCTCGGATTTTAGGGGAGATAATGGACTATCTGGTAAAAGAATTCCTTTCATTACTAAATCATCTCTATTGGCTCGGACTGATATTTTTCTTTCTAAAGCTGAAAAAAAAAAAGGAATATTTTAAATTAAAATTGCATAAAACATTACTATTTACCAAAAATTGGCGACGAGTATCTGGATAGACGAATTCAGTTTTGTGAGCTTATAATTGAAATAATTAACACTAAACCTCGACTGTTAAATATTAGTTTGTGCAACAAGAGACAATCCACTCGAGTTGTACAGTATATTTTTTTACGACCCACTAACGAAAATCTACAAATTCAAAAAAATAAGTTTTTAAAATAATTTACGAATTTTACTAATTAATAAAATAAACATGAAAAAAAAATAGTCCCCAGCTCAGATTCAAATCAGGACTATTCGAGTGGAAGGCAGATACTCTGTCCTTAGCTCCACGGCCAGTTTTATGATTTTAGTAGTTAAATTAGTTTCATATAGTTTGATTAAATTGATTCTTTTTTTTTTTCAAAATGTGGACCAATAAAAATAAAAATGCTATTATTTATCGATTCTACACAAAAATAACTAATTTTAATGTATATTTAATCTCAATAACTAAAAAATATACTGACAATAAGTTTGACAGAATTGTCACTTATTTAAAATTTTAAAAATAATATTAGTTGGGTGTCCAAATATGAACTGTGATTGATGGATTTCATTTTTTTGCGGTGTTTTCACTACCTAGAATGGATATGAAATATAGTCGTATAGTTGAACGCAATAGCATACTTTTTCGTTTTGTAATCTATGCGTAGATAAGCTAATATCCATGTGGGTGTAGAAAAAAGTATTTGTATCAGTGATGAATATACTTTTTACCATAATGCTGTTATTAAATAAAATTGTTGATATCCGCATCTATTAGGAGAAGACTACACTTAATATCCCGAGAAACTGAAAATTTGGGTAGGGATAGGAAGATACTGTAAATGGGGCCTTGCTTATATCAGAAAAACAAAGAAGCTCGAGCCAAACGGACAATCTAGATGAACATTTGCTGTATTTTAAAAAAGATTGAGAATACTAACGGTATTATTTCCAAATTTACTCCTATATTTAAACCCCATTCGTGCAAATATTCACCTTGGTATACAAAAGAGATTATAAATAATATTAAAGCAAATGATCTAGCTAGGAAGAATTACAAAAAATATACTATATTATAATCGTTTCCGTTCTTTTAAGAAGTACTATCAAGCAACAGATTCACGTTTCCTATTTTGCATACAATATTTTCAAGGCACTGAAGATGCTATTCATAAGGGTCCAATAAAATTCTGGACTGAGTCTGACATTTTTGATAATCCTAGATCAATCGTAAATGCCTTTCCAACTTTTTTCTAGGGTCTTCTTACATTCTAACCCTTTTAATCTTTTAATAATTACACCAGATACTATTAACTGTATCTCTCTCATATAGTTTACAAGAATTTGATATTAAGTATTGCCTCAAAGAAACTGAAGAACAAAATGACATCCGGTTGTGATAATATTCCGAGCTTCTTAATCAAGGATTGTATAAACGTTCTAGCTAAACCATTGGCAGTTAGTTATCTTTAATATAATTCTGAAGTCTAATTCATATCCAGCAATATAGAAAACCACAAAAAATTGTAAGGTATTTAAAATGTGTGATTCAAAATAAATTTTAAACTATAGACCGATAGCTATTCCTTTGCAATTTTAGTAAGCTTTTGAAATCATTTATACTTTTATCAAAAAGAGAAAAGTGAACAGCAGCATGGTTATGGGGGATATACCTTAGAGCCAACGAGGATCTGAATAAACCTACCAGGTGCGATGTGAGTTTTTCCAGACACCACTGAAGTAGGGTTGGAAAGATACCGTCAGGTCCTGGCGATTTAAATGGAGAGAAGCTAGATATTGCTTATCTAATTTTGACATCGTCTACAATGTGTTTGTCAGTTTGCCAATCGTAGACAGATGGGTTGTATTCTTCCTCTGCCCAGTCGGCCATATCTGTGATCATCGAGTCACAAAGGAAATTTTACAGTACAGAATTCCAATTACGCAAGTATTTTGTGAAACCAATGAAGACCTTTATTTTAATCAGGTTAATTAAGAACCAAAATTAGTTAGGTTGTATTTTTTACATAATATATATTTTTGAAGATACTAATGAATGTAATGCACCCAAAAAGAACCCAGCCCGTTTTAAGTGTATTTTGGCTTTTACTCTCGTGACTGAAATTTGGGACAGAGCAATTTTTTACCATGCTGTTCAAAAGTCTTCATGAGCAACATCGTCAGGATTTCCAGATATTGGCCATTGAAGATGTTTACTCTGTCCACTCGTCAATACCATTTATGGACTATGTTTATTCAGTGATCGGCAAAAGTATGAAATAAATTTATTATTTCGAAAATGAACAACTTTTGAAAAACATCCTGGAACACGTTGATTTTTATTTTTAAATTCACATTTCTTGACGCTTTCGGGATTCCACACTCTGAATCAGGCAAAACTTTAAAATTATTTAAGATGGATAGTGTTCTTTAAAATTCCCTGTATATGCGCACTCTTAGAATAGTACTATGCCTACTGTTAGTTCACGCCCTAACTTTTTCTGTTCTACTACCTTTAACAATAAAAATATATTTTAATTCATGTTCGTTTCCTTAAATAGTCATTTGCCAAATAAAACAGTACTATTTGAAATCTAATACATAATCTATGAACTGTAGCTGGTTAAAAGTTTGCATAAAATAACAATAAATCAATAATTTCTTAGATAAGCTCAAATATCTGCAATATAATTTAATCGACATTTCCAATTAACAGATACTAAAAAAAATGTCAACGTTGTGTGCATAACATCAATACCGACATTGACGAAGGTAATTTGATAACAATTTCAATGCAAATCTATATTTAATTTATTGTCGGAATGGCCATAAAATATGGAATTCTATTGTTAGTGCTACTAAAACTCGTTTTTCTTTATAAGGAAAGTTGTCATATAAGCAAGTCTCGGCAGTTTTTTTATTGTTAGGCAAACAAATCAAATTCTTGTAATAAATGTTAAATTGCAGTTTTGAATAATATTAAGGCCGGGATAATCAATAAGTAAAGCTCACTTGAGAAATACTAGTTCCTTACTAAATTCCGTTGCTCTGAATAAGTCAGTGTCGTTAAAGAATAAATAATAAATTATATATTGTGCAGGTAATTAAAATTAAACAAATCAATCTAAAACTTAATAACCTTCTTAAGCTTGTTTTGCGGAGATTTTTATGACACGATCAAATAAGTTTATAAGGATTGACGTAAACAAAAGTAAAACAAGTAAATGCGTCATGTTGACGTCTTTAACGTTGGGAATGGAAACTAGGAAACAATATGTTCTAAGTAATAGAGGAGCAAAAATGGTTGAAGTGTATAAAACTGTAGAACAAGACAGAAAATAGCGTGAAGTTTTGATTGAGTGTTCTTAATAAAGCTGTTAGCCCTCCTAGTAGGTAGTGAAGCACCCTTCGGAGTTATTATCAACTAAATTAAAACAGTAGACTGGCTGACGATATAAGCCTCTGGCTGATGGACAATAAACTCAAATGAACTCAGTCCATCCATCCAACTCAGATTCATCCATCTTGGAGGGGACAAGGACTATTGGTTTTGCCGACGAGCTGGCTATATTGGTAAGAAAACTCAGGGCAGAACTAGGGTTAGGTCAAATAAGAGACTGCATGGAAGATAACAAGCTAGAATTGGCTCCGGAAAAGACAGAAGTGGTTATATTTAAGGGATCATGGAAAAAATCGAGAGAAGCATCGGTTTATGTGTAAGGGAAGACTACTTAAGGCCCAAAGGGAGCTGAAGTACCTAGGTATACTAGATGACAAGTACCTTTTTGGTAGACACAAAGCGATGACGGTCAACAAAGCGGAAGCCAGACTGGAAGCCCTATCCAGGTTAATGAGTAACATAGACGGTCCTCAGAGCAAAAAGTTATAATCGGAGTGGCCCACTCCACTATATTATACAGGCACCGGTGTGGACACGAGTGATGAGTGTGGCATCTTTTCGTAAGAAAATGCAGAATATAAAACTACGTTACTTTGCCCAATCCAGGTTATAACGGGTACGATATAGATTCATCTGCAGATGACGGAACGGGCCTTGATCAACGGAAGGAAAAACGAGAGGGTGGCCAAAAACAGAGTGCGAGAGCAGGCTACACATCTGGCAGCAGAAGTGGCGTAATAACATAGAAACGGTGCAATGGACAAAGAAAATGGTGATAGATGTGGTAAAGCGGTACAAATGTAAGCACAGAAGACTAGACTATTACCCAAAATTTAACGCGACACGGCTGCTTTATGAATTACACAACGAAGATAGGAAATACCACTTTGAAATGTATGTGAGGCCACAGATTCAGCGGAACATACGCTCTTGCACTACTATCGGTGGGAGAAACCACGACAGAGAGCGTGGAGATCGACAAGGGTAGGTCTCAGCGTAGACGACATCTAGGATGAAAGGATTAGAGCATTGGTCAGGATAACACTTAAAGCAAAAGAAGAAGAGAAAAGGGTCAAACATTCGCAAATTATGAATAGATAGACGACAAATGTACAAAAACCAACACCCAGTCGAATGTCCGTGAGGAAAGTTTTAGTGGGTAAGGCGTCGTGGTCAATCTTCGCCTTCGTACGATATATCTACTCTTTTTGTACAAATTATAGTATTTATCTACATAAGTTGAAATTATATTTTTTTAATATAATAATAATAATAATAATACTCTCCCTAATTCACCCCCTTACGAGTGAATTTTAACCCCAAAAGCTGAGCTTGTGCGGGGAAAGGGACGGCTATTATTATTATTTGCCGTGGCGCTCCGGGGCGACTTAGAGATGATTGATGGTGCCATTTGACTTACAGGTGAGGAAAACCCGGAAAACCTCACCCACCATCATCGAGACGGTAATGCATGGCGATTTTATAATCTGCATGTCATATCAACAGAAATTGAATTTCTATTAATACGGCACACATCAAATCCTAAACCGAACCATGCAATTTAATTAAAAATCCACATGGTCTGGTCTGGGATTCGAAGCCCAGCAGTCTCTGACTCATAAACTTGCTTATAAATGAATATAAGCGCGTTAGACCGCTACACCAGCGTCCCGATATATAGGCTGTTTCCAAATTAGCGTACTAGCATAGTGACTATTAGAGTCTATCTTGACTTTAGTACAAATTTTTATGAATCAGGTTTAGGCGTTAAACTATCTCTATAAAAAAATAGTTTTATTCTGTAACTTCCAAACTACTAAATAGTTCTTAACTAAATTGCTTACGTACCGCTCTTTTAACTTAAGCAATTTATTGTCAAAAAATTGCTTCAAATTAAATAAAGTATAAATATTATTTTATGCATAATTGTTATGTACCAACGAAATAAATAGAAATAAAAAAGGACTAAACTATTTTAAAAATACAGAATTTCTCATAAAAATAAATAAGCTAGGATTATTAATTTTATAATTTTTTGGTTGTATGTTAAATAAAACAGAAACTACGCTTATATAGAATAAAGGGATAAATCAACTATTATTAAAAAATGTAGAAATTGTAAAATTAATTAAAAAGTTTTAATAACAAAAGTAGCAAAGATGTTCCTTGGGTCAACGAATTGTTTATTAAAATTTTAATGCGACCTGTCTAGAGAATATTATCTGGAAAATATTCTGAAGCTAAAAGAAACTTTTCATTCCACGTTCAGGTTAATCAGAAACCTTCATTAGAGGTCAAACATTAAATTTTTAAGTAGTCAAGTTTATGAAATAATAAGCCTAATACTGCATTTTTTTAATACATCTAGTTTTTATCAATATGGCTATGGCTATAGCTTGCCAACACTTAATGTCAACATGAAGTTCTTTTGCCCCTATATGCATCGCAATAATTTACTAATTTCAATTAATTTTCTATTTTTGCTTTTTGTTTTTGACTAATATGTAATTTATTAATATTATTGAGGCCCGTTCCCCCTACCTATGGAGCCTTAGTATTATATTTATGTCAACGAAAACATTTTCTTGCTTCCAATTTTTAACAATTTTCTCCTTCGAAATGTAAAAAAAATCTCGTCTGGTCGTCTGTGCATATATATGTATGTGTGTGCATCGACCCGATAACTCTATAACGAAAACTGAGATCGACTTGCGGTTTTGACTTTACTTATAATTTTATGCATCGCGGCATGGGTACTGATTTCACTTGATAACCATGCTTGTCAACTGTGAAACCACAGACATTGTTTTCTATATTGCTGTCATTCTTGTCATTCAAATAAAGTATTTAAAGTATTTTATTTGTGTGGTTATTTATTGGAAGTAAAAGTGGTAAAATAATTGAAAATAATTGTTTTAATGTGATCTTAAGCGAGTAATATACAAGATGGTAAACTAACGATGCTTTTTACACGAATTTTAACTAACTCCAGAAGGAGCCAATATCTGAATTTGATATCAGTATCAAATAGGTAAAGGGCCCAGACTTAAGGGCCAAAGAACTGTTTTACACAGACAAACTTAAGGATAAATGGCAAAAAAATTTACATAGCCCTGATCCCGGAAACTAGTAATAGTGGCCAATTCAAAAATCTATTTCGAATGTGAAGCTCACAAAGATTTCTTCAATTGACATTGTGGTAACAGTGGACGTTCTGATATCAAAAAATTTGTACGAAATGAAAACGCGAAGAAATTCGAAAATTGGTTTATAATTGAGTCCATACTAAATTTATAAAACCCATCTATAATTAATATAGATAACGTGAGTAACCATTGTAGAAGAATTAGTACTACGCCAAACTCAGAACAAAAAAAATAAGACGTTACAGTCGCTGGAAGCCACAAACATTCTTTCTTTGTCAAATATTATGAAATATGAACTCTGGAAAATGATACTTCCAGTTCTCCCAAAAAAATCATACATAACTCTATGCTGTAAAATTATTATAAGATTACCCATACTTAGAAGAAGTTTGATATGCAAAGACTAATTTATATGAAAGAGTTTGTTACAACAAATTCCACGGTTAAAGATGTGCTTAAGTACATTCTTTAAAACATTTAAAAATGATTTCCAAATTTTAGCTTACGTACATAACAGCTGTAATATTAATACAAATACAGTTATTCAACAATACATATTTATTTTAGAACAGATTTTTATAATAGAAATGGAAGAATTTTAAATACTTTCAACTAGAAAAAATGTGAAATTAATACTTTATAACGATTTTATGTGTAAAAAAGTTACAATGCGAACATATTTACTGCCTTAACTTTTGAACGTGATAAACAAAGAAAACAACTTACTTCTAGCAACGGCTTCCATTTTGTCCGATTTTCTTTTCCGTTTCCATTTCCACGGTCTAAGTAATTTTCCTATCGAAAACTTGCTTTTCCTTTCAGACGGCGGACTTCTTGTACTGCTACCCAGGCTATTTGTGCGGAATGCCGTTCCATTTTGCTTTTTGGCTGTAATAAAATAATTAAAATTAAAAAGAAGGACCAAGATCACATATATCGGTAGTAGGAATTTATTTATCAACATTTTTTATTAATATAATTATGAAGCCAAAAACGCATTTTTTTTATCAGTTGAACCTGCAAGTATGAGGTTTTGGATCCCACGTTAAAAGGTAAGGGTACCTTGGAGTTAAACATAGTCTTATTTTACTATAATTTAAATACAGATAAGCAAATATTAAATACTTAGATAAAGAATATATTTTCAAACTCCTAATGGGTTTACATGTACCGATCATTTATATTTAAACATTTAAACATAAAAGTCGGCACAATTATTGTTTTTTTTTTAATGTGAGAAAATCGAATAAGCTTTTATTTTTGGTATATCGCATAAAGTCGCTACGTAAGATGACCCACAGTTATTAAGTAAAAAAGTAATATTTCCCGTTATAGAATACCCATTCCTTACGAATCACCCTGTATACTAGACCGAAGTTATTTGAAAATACTATAATTTATTAGAATTACGTATATTTTTTAATTAGGTACAAACTTAGACCATTCTCGTTTATTTCTAGCCTTTATCTTTGCCTCCTGTCAATTTAGTCCACGTTCCTTTAGGATTTCCGCTACTGCATTATCTCAGGTTTTTCTTGGTCTTCCCCTCAGTCGTTTTTTACAAGTTCTTGTTTAATATATAGTTTTTGCTTGTTGTTTATTTTGCATATATATTAAGTGTCCAAACCATCCTAAATGATGTCTTTCTATGTTTTTAACTAAGGGTTCTACTTCTAGCTCCGCTCTTATGTATTCGTTATTTTGTTTCTTCTAGTGAAAATTTGTCACATGATAGATTATACTATAATTTTATAGAAAATACACATCTAGTGGACATTCAGGACCAGTTTTTCAATGAAAGCTTAAACTGAGTTCAGCAAATGAACTGAGTTTAATTGAAAGTAGGAAGGAAGGGGGTGGGTAGCTTAGTGGTAGAGTCTTAACCTGTGGATACAAGGGTCCCAGGTTCGAATCCCACCGTTGGCCGGGATTTTTTTATTTAATTTAATTATTTAAAATTAATTCTGATTCCTTGGTAGGATTCCCCACTCGACCATTCACTGTTGGGTTCTAATTTAACAGTGCTGTTCCTAAAGTGGCGCAAGGAAACAGTAACAAGGCATGTATGTAGGAATGTAGGGGTATTAGAGTTCTAATACTCCTGCACTATGGAGTATTAGACTACTAGTACAATCCATAACCTACATAGAACACTAGGCTAATAACCTTAGATGTTGAAGCCGTACACCAAAGAAAAAAAAATTGAAAGATGGTGTATTTCAAATAATGTAGTTCACGTCTGAACTTAATTTAAACTATCTGAAAAATTGAACTGTCAAAGTTGGGCGTTTAAACTAAGATCAACGTTTTGATACTGACATAATATAATTATATTTCACAATTTTTTTTTACATTTGGTCTTCGAAGTAATAAATGAAGACGATGGTAACATTGCTACATATTTAATGCATATTAATGTACCATAAACCCAAGAGAATATGCAAAGTTTCGTTTGTCTAAGAAAACGGCTAACAGAATAATTAACAAAATAGAAGGAGGACTTATAGATAATAACATTTATAATAACATGTATTTTATTTTCTAGAAATAATGCTTTAACCCCTAAAGTCATGGTTCTGTTAACTATATGATTTGTTGCATCGATATCCTTCTTAATTACCACCACCAAGTAGAGTACATAAGTACAGAAATTAAAATTTACCAACATTTCTTCTTCATTGCTCGAAACATTGGCGGTCCGTCAATTTTTTTCCATTTCGTACAATTTTTCACATTCACTGTTAATGAATATGTTTTTAAAAACGTCAAATTGACAGAGCTTGCAGTTTTGTCAGAAATCCCTCAATTCAGAACTACCAATATAAATTAAACTTATATCACCTGAACTGTGATACTAACATGATTGAAAAACGTTATTGATGGTAATCTCAGTTCTATATTTGATCCAAGTTCAGGTGAACGAAAGTTTAAACTGTAATTGAAAAACTAGCCCTTACAATCATTAATGCCTTGCCAGACTCGTAAGTCAGGTAGTTAAAAGTGCCGAATTTAGTGCGCCTAACGATCATTAGACGAGTCTGGCAAGGCTTTCGGGGTGTTCCACATTAGGCCAGATTGTATTTTAAGCTGTTATCGTGCCATCGTCCTATAAATTTAAATGACTGCGAAAATAAGAGAATTTTTTTTCAGTTTTTCACCTTCCAGATATATTATCCATACTCACAGATTAGTCAGACCATTTTTTTTACTTAACTTCAGTATACCTCTTACTACTAGAACTAAACTGCTCATGGAAAACGCTTTAGCAGATATTTAAAAATGAATAAAATTCTAAAGGTTCGTTATTTCTTGTAATGTAAAATTTTAAATATATGCACCTGTTGTTATAGTAATTATAGAACTTTTTACGTATTTGGCAGTTTTGTATTTTTTTGGTTAGAAAAAAAATTATACGGAATTTTCAAAATGTTAGAATTTTTTAAAATTATTTTTTCAAAAATAAAATAAATAAAACGCATATGTTACACAAAATACGAGTGATCGAATTCCTTCGGAAAACAACTACTCCTTTGACAAAAGACACCAAATTCGCTAGTATACAATAACGGTGGTTACGAAGAAAATAAGTACTCAAGTAGTGAAAATGGTAACGACATCTGTTCCTAGTAAGCAAAATCGAAGGTCGCTTGTATTACCCAGTCAGAAAGCTAGGTGGAACCTATCTATTTCTTGCTGAAGAGTTCTAATAAGGACGAAACCGGTCCAAGAATGCCTTACTCCAAGTAAGCAAAATCAAAGATAGTGTTGAAATGAAATTACTAATGTTGCTGTTTTCTTTTGGATATAATGCAATACCTATTGCGGTATTAGCCAATAATCCTGTAATTTTACATTATTAAAGGAAAAGAGAAATGTGTTTTCCTTATTCATGTCAAATTTACAGTATTTTATCACTGCTGTAATAGTCAAAAAACAATTATTTGCATTTGCTATAAATTTTACTAAAATGGAGTTACGCATTTTTCTTACTAAGGCGACGATATATGAATTTTGCTTAGAATTATTAACCCAACTATTCTATCCATGTCTGCAGACTGGGAAGTAAGTACCGAAAATCTTCACGGCCTCCTGGACTATTTATTTTTGATTTCAGTACCCTCTAGCTGATAGAAAACTGTTACGTATTTGTAAAATGTGACACTTCATTTGAAAACTAATTTGATTAATAATTTGATGCATAACATTAAACATAATTTGATAAAATATGAACTTAAATAACTGAAAACCTTGAAGAGCTCTAACGTTAAGAAATACAAACTTTAATTGCAGGTAAACCAAAATAACAAATTTATGCTACGAATAGTTATTAAAGCTGGTATATAAGAGAGAACATGCTAAGTGGAATTTAAAGTAGTTCACTCGTAAACCGGCTTTTCTTAAGAATTCAATAAAATTGAAATATAAGGTTAATGAAAGTGTCTTTTATATAAATAAAAAAAATAAAATTTTTTGACCGTCTGTGAAACGAGATATTAACAATCAAAATGTGCATAATTAACACTCTTGAAGCCTCTCATGTACACAAGTAATGCATTTATTTCAAGATATCTCGAAAACGGTTCTTACCATATTTTTTAAAAACTAATGTAATGTAAATCAAGAAGTTATAACATTTTCTAAAGAAACGCTAAATTTTTTGACCGTCTTAGTAAAAAGATATAGATTTTTAAAATAAAAATATTTTTAAAGCAATCGACGAGTAGTTCTGTAAAATTATTACAACTTGGCAACGTTGTATACGCTGCAATCAACGCGTTGTACCAACATAACACTCGATCAGCTAAGAGGATGTTATAACCTCGCGACGTTTTCTTGAAAAATTAATTCGTTTACTGTATTTGAGAACTGGAATCAGCGGTTCTGTTTGAACCAAAACAAACCCTTAAAATTAATATGAGGAAGTCACAAATTTATATAGAAAAACAATTAAGGTATTTATGAGGTTGCCGGATGGATTTTATTAAAATCCATATATATAAGCTTACATGTGTTTTGTACAGTCTCTTACAAAAATAAAATTGATTAGCATTGAGAATCTCGAACTATTGGTATTCACCATTAAGCGATATTTTTATGTACGACTGTCGCGAGTGAACTACCTTAAATAACAAAACAAGTATTAGAAATTAAAAATTTAAAAAACCGACTTCAAAGACGTGCAGATGCCATCACCACATCTTAACCAAATTTATATGGGACCACCCCTGAGGTACCCCCTTACTTTCAAAAAAAGAATCATTGAAATCGGACACCGTGTTAAAGAATTATCGCTGAACATACATAAAAAAATATATATTCTTTTTTGAAGTCGGTTAACAAGTATTCCCCATGTTAACCATAACATCACAAACAGACCAATCACAGTTATTCCAACCAACTAGTACATACCGAGCAATTTATGTACACCAAAATATTTAAAATAAAATGAAGACTTTTAACATGTGTTTCATAATAGCATATTGTTTAAAAAGCAAGGAATGGCACTCATTTCCTACGGGTATTATATATGAATCACTCTAGTAGCAAATAAGCATTCCTTGGCAGACGAACACTATACTTGTTCTGTAATAAGACGACGCCTGCTATCCATTTTTAATTATGACAGCTTTTTTTCTAGATAATTCGATGGTTTCGGAAAATAAGGGCATAATTCCAAATTTGTTACTTTTCAGGAGAATTGATTGAAGTTGAAGTGCTGATTTTAAATAGACATGAATTCATAAAGATTTCAAATTATTATGCAAGGTTGAACTTCTGATGTAGAATTCAACGTACTGTACCAAATTTTTATTCGAAAAGTTGTATAAGAAAAGGCAGTTAACTCGTTAGACCCAAAAATGACTTTATATTCCCGAAACCATGGAATT